GATGAGTTCATCTAGTCTGTCAAATTGCCCATCCATCTCCAGCACCGATACCTGAAGTAAACAAGCAAACTCTAAGATTGTACAGCATTGTCTGAGGCAGGACCTGTTTGACAGCTAGAATTGTTCTACTCAGTGAATAGTTGATCTCTAGTCCAAGAATGGTTTTGGAGCTCTCTTATTTTGTCCTACTTTGGACTACTTGCTAGGTTTCTTTCGATTTATTTCCAAGTAACAGCAGTTAGCATTACTCGTTGGACACAAAAGGGTAAATAAACCAAGATGAGTACCTCTTGGCCAAAGTAAGTGTCTGGGCCATAGGAAAATTTGATGCCAGGATAAGAGCATGTAAGCTTTCTTCCACAAGGGATCCAGTTGATGGTTGATCCTTCATCGAAGAGGTAAACTGGGTTGAAGAACTTAATGCCTTCTTTCATGATCAATTTAACACGCAGCACCTTTCCTTCGTTGTCATCAGGAATCAGCTGGGTTGGCAGAACTTCAATCACAGCATCAGCGTATTGCTTCTGCGGATCTGTCATACCAAGTGGTCAGTTTACATGCCATCTTCTATTATTTTTGGTTTATGGAAAACACTTGTTATGATTAGTTGGTAAAAAGGCAGTACCAATAAAGGCATCAAAATCAGGTTTCCTGGCTTCGATGCTAGCCTTGATGCTTTCAAGACTGTGCCCACGCTCTGCCATGTCTCTCTGCAAAAGTGCCAGTGATTGTTTTTTAAAGTTAGATAACAGAAACAAAATCCATTGAAACATCTGAACCTTGCTGTTCAGCTCACCTGAATTTTCCATGCGAACTTAACCTCATTGCTGATGTCTAAGTAGATGCTGAAATCAAGGAGCTCCCTCACACGTTCATCGTACCTGGTTTAAAAATCTCTGTTTATTACAGCTTGCAAAATGATCAGGTTTATTTTAGCCGGGGAAATACTGCTAACTGTTAAGCATCAGGGAATCAAATATTTTGTGGAAACTTAACAGAAGTTGCTGCTGTGATTCAAAAGATTTTATGATAACCACTTACCCAACAGCTACTGGAATATGATGAAGAAATAAAGAAAAAACAGACACCAAATACTGGAACAGTCGGGAGAAGCATGGGGGTAGAATGTGAACTCACATTGGGTGCAAACCCTCGATGACGAAGATCTTGGGGGGCTGGATGAGCTCCGCCGGGTCGAGGAGGCCAGTGACGTGGTTGTAGATTGGCTTCTCAATAGCCTTGCCTTCCTTGATTGCCTTCACCTGCTCATACATGAGATCAAAGTCGTTTGCCTTGGGGTCCAGGGCGGTCACACCTTTCTCCTTCCTCCCGGTTCTGTCCAAGGAATGGTAGTCATCAAGGCATATGACCGTCGTCGTGTCGCTGATGAGCGTGTTGGAGTCTGGGTTGCCGCCCTTGGGTGGCTCTGCGGCACCTCCAAACACGCTGGTGAGCCGGCGCATGAAGGTGGATTTCCCACATCCCGAGTCTGCTGCCAGGCCAATCACTATTGGCTGCTCAACTGCGCATGAGACCTGGAAGGTCCTTGCCCCATGCCTCGTGTTACTCCTCCTGCTGCTTCTGGTCGTGAAGAGGATGACTTGGTTCTGCCTGAAGCCTGAGTTTGGGATGGTGGTGCATGGGGAGCGCAGGGATGCGGTGGTGTGTGGGCTGCAGAATGCCATGTTTGCTGCCCAACCTCTTGGAGCTGCTCTTCTCCCCTTCAAGCCTTGTAACTGAGACTTGGGGGGAAGAGAGAGCTTGATGAAAGAACTGTGGAGATAAGAGCCAAGAAAACATAAGGAGGGAAATGAGATGGTGATGATGTGGTACCCCTATTTTCCTTCTTTTTTTTTCTCTTTTCTTTTCTGGTGATATCAGGGGCAGCTTATAGTGATCTGAAAATGAATTCTTCCTATAATTCCAAACAATCGTATGTTGTCTGTATTCTTTCCCTGGACACTGAGCTTTCTTACTACGAAAAGCTTCTGATTCCACTTTATGATCATGTCATTTCCTGGTGATGTTTTTAAACCTATATTAGCTAGAATATAAACTTTCTAGCGCTCTTTGCTGAAAATTAATTTTCTTGTTTTTTGTTTGGTAGCTGCCAAATACACGAGCAAAGGACACTTAAAAATTCCGTATACACCGTTTACGATTTAATGTCCTGCGGTATACTTGTGCCTGTTTTGTCTGTCCTAACCAGTTGGTGCTTGAATTATGATGGCCAGAGACGCTTGGAGGAAAGCTTGGTGGTGGTTCCATGGATCTAGATATGGTTGTGCCACGTGGCAGCGCAAGGATGGCTGGATGCAGATGAGGTAATGGAGGCTGGAAATTGATCGCCGAGAGTTGGAGAGGATATGGCTGATGCCTACTTCACCAAGCTGTAGACCATATGTACGTTTATCTTTTTTCAAAGGCAGTCCATGTGTCAGCGTGTGGCCACAGGTATGTGCCATGTCAGCATCCCTAAGTCATTGGATGGCCAATGGCCGCACGAGACATTCCATAGCATATACACATTAAACTGAAGAAACGGTTTTCACATGCACCCTCCATGTAGAATTCCTTTTGACTCGCTCGGGGAACAGAAGTTACAGAACCATAACTCATTGTTGATCAGAGGAGAATAGAGACACAGCCATGGACAGAGTAAGACGAAGGAATCGGGAGCGGCTATTCTGAGCCTCGGGTCATCTACACCCGTGCATGAACAGTAAATTTGTGAAAATAGCAACAAAAGAAAATCAGAATTTATTTACATCGAAGATGCTTGAGTGCGCAAGGCACGTGCAAATTTTCGCTGTGTTAGGATATTCGAGAAAGTCATGGCAAAAAAAAGGCAAAAACTGACCCTCGAAGAAACTTTAAAAAACTGCACTTTTTAAACCTGATTTCTTTTCTTTTTTTTGCATGAGCTCCTCAAATGCCATTTTAGCACAAATTTTGCGCGCTCCTAGGATGGATGACAATACCATTAAAAAAGAATGGATGAAAAAAAAAACAGATTTTTAATTATTACCTTTTGCTATTTTTCCTGAATTTACTGTTCATTCAAAGCATCTGAGCTTGGGCACCGTTGCGGATTACCAGAATCCATATAATTTTCCACTGTATATTAGTACAGAATACAAGCAACGTAACAAGCGTAAATCTCTGGAAACGAAAAGATCAAGCACCTCTTCTTTGATTCTTACGTTAAACTTTGGAGGAGTCCATTCCTTAGGACCTTTTGTCATGCATCTTATTTGATTCGTATGAGTACTTTTTAGAGTTTTAAAGAAAAAAACTCTATGAAGTCCAACCACATGTCCATGAAGTGATTCTTTTAAATTTCTTGTTATGGCGCAAGCGCAGCCAAACTTCTGTTATACATTCTCATGTTTCATTTCATATACATGGTCGGATTCAGTGAAGGCAAGAAGGACATCATGGTTCGAGAAATAAATGTAAGGACGTCTAACTCTTGCGTTTTTCTTTATAAGAATTGGAATCTGCAATGAAGGCTAGAAGATTCCTTGGACATCACTTCACAGGGCACAGATGAGAACCTCATATGGTTTTGCTGTCTTTAGGTTCCAACTGTTGGAAATATGAGCAATTTATCGAATGATTTTATTAACAGAAATACTAGATAAAGCATGACTAAAATAGCAAATATAAAGCAAGTCATGCAATCTGATAGAGAGAAGGTAAACATCGTCTGCATATATGAACTTGAGGTAAACACATCTAGAACAGACACTAGATGAAGTTGCTTATACGACATAGAACCTAACATACGTAGGGCAGAAACTAGAGCCAAGAACTGTAGGATGACTTGTAACAGAAAGGATAAGAACACGTACGGCACAGCAGGAGCATAAGCGCTGGACTTGGGGTCGATGTCCTCGCCTGCCATGTCGTCGAGGAGGTCGTGGAAGTCGGGAAAGAAGTCGTCGTCGGGGAAGTAGTCGTCGGCGACCGGATCGTCCGTGATGAAGCAGCCAGTAGTCGCGCTGAGCGCTCCCCAAAAACCTTATCACCCTTCTCCCGTACATGACTCAAAAGGTGCGGTCTCGGAGGCCTACTGTCCCGACGTGCGGTGCACGCCGCAAGCCGGGATGAGAAAGACAGCAGTAGCTCAGAGATGGAACCGATGGCGAGGGAAGGGGTAGTTCTGGTGCGTCTTGCTGAGAGGAGCGACCTCCCTTTTATAGGCGCAAGAGAAGGAGGCGAGAGGGCAGCGCCGGGAGCTGAAGGGAACGAGGGAGACGAAACGAACAGACATCAGCCGAAGGGTGCAGCGTTCGTATTCAATGTCCACTACAGCAAAAACTTTTCAGCTCCCGAGTGACCTTTCGTATACCCGTAGTGCATGACAAAAATTTAGACATCAACTCGGCTCATTCCCGCAACCCGCGGCACGGCACGTCGTGACGAGGCGGACGGAGGCGGAGCGCGCGTAGATGTCCCTCCTGTTCTCATGCTCATACAAGTGAGGAAGGAGCCTCCCTTATAAAGAAGTCCAACCCCCTCTAAACTAGCAATGTGGGACTAAACTTTTAGTAGTATCCCTTGCCTTGCACAAATGGGCTAAGTGGGCCTCTAGGATTTATTAGGAATTTCTGAAATAGTTATTGGGCTGCCCAAATAGGCTAAATTCCAGCACCAACTACCATGGCCCTCGCACAAAGACAGCAGCTCACCAGCAGACCAATCAAATATGCAAACAAACTAGCGAACAAAAATGCTAGGCTTCAAACAACATGCAAGTTTATATGGGTAAGATCCAAGGCTTTAAACAACAGGTAGTTCCAGAGATAACACTAATACAACGGTTGTTACACTTCTACTCTCTTCCAACAAATAAACAAACTTCTGAATTTCTGAGGCAAATTATTCCCATAACTACCATAACATACAAAGAATGGCATGTACTCATATGTATGCACAGAACCGCAGCACGCTCCGATGACACCGGTGGACTTCTGTACTTTCTTCCATTGCCCGCTTCACTTGTGCCCTCTGAAATACATGTATACTCTCTGCATGCACCAAAATTAGAGCAAGATCAAGTAAGTGCTGAGCTGCTGGTATTTTGCGCTGTAAGGAACTTGGCAAACACCATAGTTCTATATGCATAGGTGACAGCATAAATGAAAAATAATATTTATAAAAAAATGTGACATGCTCGCTCAATCTTCCTGTATTTGCTTTACTTGTAAATTAAATTATACATTACACATATTTTTCTGTTGAAACATATATAAGGAAGACTGATGAACATAGAAAAACAAAGGTAAGTTTACTGAAAAACTGTGCTCGACTGATGGTTAATATAACTTTCTTCCAGCAGTGAACACCAGTATCACAACTGGATAGATTCCATATTATCTTAATTTTAAGAGATCACTATTGTTGAAATTTATGTATAGAGTTATACTTATAGGTAGCTAGAGGGCAGGAGTAATTAAACAAATAACATACAGAGTACTTCTAGTTTTAGATAAGTTACTAGCATCTCCAATTGTTCCATGACTCCATTTATGTCATATATGCATATGAGAATTCAAACTGTATGATCCAAGTAAATGAGTACCTATTTACTTCCTTATCCATTTAGATATAGTACCCAAAGATGAGTGAGGGATGTGCGAAACCAAAGAATGAGGAGCGTAATAAAGGCAGAACAGGAGGCAAGGGGCAGAGGGAGATAGCAGATTAGTCACAGACCTGAAGAACCCAAATGCTCACAACTGTCTCCAATGAAAACAAGGCAAATCCGACAAAGTAAAGTATCTGAAAGAAAGATCGTTGGCCTTAAATGTTACATACACTGAACATACAAAATTTATCGACATACTTTGTAGAAATAGAAACATGTCCGTCTGTTCATTCCATATAGGAAGTATATGAACTGCAGAAGGATGAATAGCATCTATAGAACAACTCACCCCAACTAATGCATGATCAGAGAAGGTATCGATTGCAGCCAGTATACCCCTGATGACAGATAAAGCATACTTTGTTTAGAGCCACATAAAAAAAATCAACAGCCTCACGCATTGAGACACTGTACAGTGGCTATCTATCGTATTAAAATTCTAGGCAGTTATTGCTTGAAGCAATACATAGTGTGGCAAGTTATCTTACGTTAATGACTTCCCACGAAATACGATTGGCGGAGCAATGGCAGCAATTATACAAAAGCCAATGTGGAGCTACAACGAAACAAAGAAAACATAATTCAATCAGGTTGCTAACATAAATAGCATATCAGATGAAGAAAACAGAAACCACAAGTTCATCAAGACCTTACCATGTAACAAAGGAAAAACCACCCAAAGCTGAATGCGCTGTCAGTTCTGTTCAGCAAGTTGATCGAATATTAAACATAAAGCCACTACTAGTGCTAGGAGAAGTACAGTGCAGATATTGGAATTCAGTTAAGTCAAACATCTAGTAGAAATTTCCTTTTGTTGTTAATTAGGAATGCTATGCATGTTAGGCTGATACAAAGTTGAATTCAGAAGTATGGCATGAACTGGTCGAAAGTGCCTTTCTGCTCCCGAGCTCATTTGAGCTCGGTGAACAGTAAAATCGAAAAAAAAAACTAAATTTTTTAAAAAAAATTCCAAAAAAATTCTCAGAGAAACATTGACAAAAGTTCTAAGTGCTTGCAAAAATTCATCATGAAATCACATTCCTGTAAGGCGTGGCAAAAAAAAACAAATTCAGCCTCCAAAATGCTTTTGAAAGTAGCATTTTCAGAGTATCGATTTTTTTTTTGCCACGCCTTCTAGAAATGTGATTTCATGACGAATTTTTGCAAGCACTTAAAACTTTTGTCAATGTTTCTATCAAAAAAAAATTGGAATTTTTTGAATTTTTTTCGATTTTTTTCGATTTTACTGTTCACCCGAGCTCATATGAGCTCGGGTGCAGAAACTCCACGTCCATGAACTGGTGCAGATCACACACATAGCAGGAAGCCAGAAAGCATTGACTATTAGATGCATACCTCATTGCACGGTACAGAGGCCTATACCACATCAAGTAGGACAAAGGTACTCCAAGCATACCATAAATAGTAGCCAGGAAAAACAGTTTAGAGTCTGCAAGCATAAGAAAATCCAAAGATTTAGTGTTCTGCTGCATTACAAGACATAATAATAGCACAATAAGACTAGCACTCGTTGGTACCCAAACTGCAATACATATGTGCAGGTGTACAGGCAGGTGTACAGAGGACATGAAAACTAACTAGAAGAAGGTACTTAGCTCACCTCCCCCTCTGATCCAACAGACTGTGACAGCAATGAAATTCCAAACGAGGCAAAGCACGATGCCTGCAGATTATTGCAACCCCAAATATCGTCAGTAAGTACAAACAATGCTGCCTCTTAAAACCGATCTCTCACGAGTGTGTGCGTAGTTACCGAGCCAGCTAGCAAAAGCAAGATACTGCAACCGCTGCGCGTTGGCTGGTATTTCATTGGCAATGTCGTGGTGGATGATCGGGAAGAACGGGGGCCAGTTCTTGTCCTCCATGGGCACCCCAGCTACATGATAACAAATGATTCAATACACAGTTTCATGAGAGCATAATTTATCCACTGATGTAGACCAAATGCAGGTAGAAGCGTACCGCTCTTGAGAGCTTCCTCCCTCCTCTTGATGTCCTTCACCCACAAAAAATTCAAAATTGAGAACGACGAATGGGAGAGGAAAAAATGTCTAACAACTGAACATTCCTAGTAATGTATAAAATCAACTGTAAGAATCCAAGACAGCAGCAGCATAAGAAGCTTACCGCCTCTCGCCTCTTGAGATCTGCCTGCCACTGTGAGAGCTCACTTTCCTTGCCATTCGAACCCTGCAAAGCAACCATATTAGCGTAGAGCAGAGAGCACGCTCAATAACACCCTCAGCAGCAGCAAACGGGAGATCCTCTCTTACGTTCATGTTGTCAAGGGGGATGTCGACGGCGGCGTCCCCGTTGCCGCCGGCGCCGAATCCGACGGGCTCCGTCGGGCGAAACTGGAACTGCGACTTGCCGCCGCCGCCGCCACCACCAGCACCACCGCGTCCTCCCCCATTCTGCGCACGAACCACCAGATGCACAGCTCGTCAGAACACGCTAAAATTCAAACGCCGGAGCTAGGCGGGGAGATCCCGCCCGAGATCTATCTAGCAGGCCATGCTAAGCTAGAGGGGGAGAAATGGGGGATTACGGAGAAGGCGTTGTCGTCGGCGCCCTCGTCGAAGGGGTTGGGATCTCGGTACATCCTCGCAGCTTCGCCTGGCTGGCTGGCTGGCTGGCTGGATTCGGGTGGTGGAAGCGTCGGGTGGAAATGATCGGTGGTTTGGTCTTTGTGTCACGGTGTGACACGGGAGATAGAAGGGAATCGGTGGGTGTGGGGGGTGGAGTGGGCGTGTCGGCTGCGGTGGGCTGACTGACTGGCGACTGACTACTAACTCAAAGTCGCTTCAGGTTCAAGTTGTTCGGGTTTTTTCCAACGATAAGCGTCGGTCCACCGGTGGAGGTCTCTATCGGTGGTCTTCCGCACTATCAGATCATGCACCGTCTACGGTTGAGATTAGCTCGCTGACTCGGTTGTCTCTCTCGTTCACGTAGTCTTGGGCAGCACCCAAAAAAGAAAACGGTCGCATCTTCATCACAAGCATTGTCGTGGTGTGAGTTCTAACAGTAAGAGGGGGAAGAAACGAGGCATGATCAAGCAAGACGCAGGGGGTGTTACAATGAAGTATATAGGTTCAGGCCCCTCATGATGATGGTAAAATCCCCTAACCCTATTTTCTGGAGAGAATGTTCTTGTGTTGAGATTTGTGTTTACAAGGTTTCAAACCCATAAGCAAGTGATGAATGGATGCTTATATAGAGTTTGTAATCTCCTTCGCTTTCTATGTTACAGGTGATTAAAGTTCAACAATAATGCACACCCACTACTCATAGTAACGGGTGTCTTGATATAATGCCATGTCTTCATGGTTGCGTTAATGCCTTTAACTAATGCATCTGGTCATTGGGTTGCTTATGCCCGAGTGGAATCATGCTTCTTTAATATATCTCCAACGCCGACCCTCAAAACGCCTGCATACGTTCGGACCACGTGCCGGTGTCCTGGACTAGGGGTGCTTACCATGTTGGCTTGCTAGTTATGGACCGGGCCAAGGACCCGCCGATACTGATGAATGGACCATGCAGGCCTTGGTCCTCGACGTAATCAAGATGAGGATCCCGAAGACTTCATGTACACTTCAAGACACATTGGAATGACTGGCATGCTTATCCCTAGATTGTAACCGATCATGTGCAAACCTTAGATACCTCTGGTGCCTATGTAGCCGTGGGGTTTAGCCTGTAGAGACACGATTACAAGCTTTTTAGAGGTTTAGACCTTAGAACTCTTTCATACGATCTCGAGGTAGATCATATTGTACTCTGTACCCCATCACAATCAATATATCAAAAGCATGACGTAGCGTTTTACCTTCTTGAGAGGGCCTGAACTTGGGTAAACACCTGTTGGGTTCTACGGTAATGTAACGCCCGAATAATTATACTACAGTAATCTCATGCCAATGGTGCCATGTCAACGCGATCCCTGTTGTTAACCTCGCGATGATTCAATCAATTTCGGTTTTAAAATTCAAAATTAAATCAAACGGCAAAGTAAATAAAAGAAAAGGTGAAAACAAACAAACAAGAAAATGGCCCCTGGCCCACCTGGGCCAATCAGCGCAGCCGGCCGGCCCAACCCCACCT